GGTTTCATCTTATCTGACGAAGGTTATGATGTGTGGCTGGGCAATGCAAGAGGCAACACGTTCTCTAAAAGACATATCACTTTGGATCCTAAAAAAGATGCCAGAAAGTTCTGGGAATTCAGGTACGACTTAAACACCATCATGCCCAAAATATTTACTTAGGAACTTAAAAAACTATGTTTACTAGTTTAATATTTAACTAGTTGGTATTGGTATTTTTCCTTGAGGCAAGTTACATGAACTTCCCGATTTGTGTAAACAATCGACTTAATCCATGATAGATAAATTAATTTATGAGTGATTAAAAGTATATTCGAAGTGGATTTATTACCCATTATTAAAAATCGAACACGGCAACCCGGTCAAAATATTTTTTAAAAGCAAATTTTCAAAAATCAATAATTTTCATAATTGAGACAGTTTTTCTGTAGGACCTTAATTGTTTAGTATGTTCATTAAGACCAAGCATTTATCGTTATACCAGGTAAATCATCTAATTTTAATTTTAACAAATGTCTAAAGAACTACTCATTTTCTCAAACTTTAATGAATTTTTAAAATTGAACTACTTGTCGTAAGGCCGTAATATTTTAGTAAGTTCTATAAGACCATGATATATATCGCCCAAAAAAGTTCAATAAAAATTGGCTTAAATTTTTTTTTCAACAGTTAATTACAAGAAAACGGCTCGGTAGATTTTCACCTAAATATCATTCCCAACTAATATCTTTCGAACAGTTTTTGATTTCTTAAAATCGATTCGGTAGTATGAGCTTAAATGTCGACGAAAAGTTTAACACTTTCTTCCAAATTACAAAGAAACGGCTCGGCTGATCGTCGCACAAAACTGAGAAACGATAATCCTCATCGATTTACATCAAATGGTTTTTGAATTTCTGAAATCGGTTCAGGCGTTTTTGAGCAAACGTCGATGAAAGCTTTAATTTTGACAAATGCCAAAAAAAAACAATTTTTGCAAACTTTGACGAATTTTTAAAGCTAAACGAGTTGTCGTAGGGCCGTAATATCTTAGTATGATCTAGAAGACTATGGTTTCTACCGTCAAAAAAATAATCATGAAAATCGTCGATTTTTTTTTAAACTTTATTACAAGAAAACGGGCCGGCCGATCTTTACCAAAAACTAATCAGCACGATTCCCAACCAATATCTTTCGAACGGTTTTTGAATTTTTAGAATCGATTCAGAATTGCAGGCTAAAACGTAGACGAATAATTTTCACTTTCCTGCGATTTATAAAGAAACGGCTCTGCCGATCGTCGCACAAAACTGACAAACAATAGTCCTCATCGAGATACATCAAATGGCTTTTAAATTTTTGAAATCGGTTCAGCCGTTTTTTGAAAAACGCCGATTTACGACAAAAAATCTGTTCACATACACGCACACAACATACACACACACACATACTTTTTCCTTGAATTTGGTTTCATTCGATTCAGAATGGCTTGAAACGTCGAGAAAACATAAAATTAGCGAATCGGATTTTTTGATGAAAACAAACTTCTCCTTCGTGAAGTTAAAAAATCAACCCTTCTTTTTCCATCAATTACTATCTATAAATATTTTAATTTTTTTCAGTTGGAACGAAATCGGTATGTACGATTTACCAGCTATGATCGACTTTGTGTTAAAATCCACTGGTGAATCCAAATTGAACTACGTTGGTCACTCTCAAGGAACAACATCGTTCTTTGTGATGGCTTCTGAAAGGCCAGAATACAACAATAAATCAAATCTATGCAAGCTTTGGCACCTGTTGCTTTCATGTCCCACATGAACAGTCCAGTTGTTAGAATTTTGGCACCTTTGTTTTCAAACTTGGAGGTAAATATAATTCATACTCAAAGACAACGTACATCAATGTTCTAATTATTTTTTTAATGTTTTTGTAGTTCCTCACCAGTGTAATTGGTTTACACGAATTTCTGCCAACAAGTGACTTTTTGGCAGGTGTTTGCTGATGGATGTGTAATGATGGACAATGGACTCAAGAGATTTGCTCAGGGGTTCTTTTCTTACTTTGTGGATTCAATGAGGAACAACTGAACTCTGTAAGTAACCAGATCACTACCAATGACACATCAAAATTCTGATCAACTGGACAGATTTTTAATAAATTGATACTAATACTTAAATTTTTATCAAAAACTTAAACTTCTGTCAACTAATTTTTTTTGA